CACACACACACACGTGGTTACGTTAAGCCGACACACATGTGGTTACGTTTAGCCGACTCATACACACATGGTTACGTTTAGCCGACTCACACACACACACGTGGTTACGTTTAGCCGACACACACACACGTTGTTACGTTTAGCCAACACACACACACACGTTGTTATGTTTAGCCAACACACACACACACATTGTTACGTTTAGCCAACACACACACACACACACACGTTGTTACGTTTAGCCAACACACACACACGTTGTTACGTTTAGCCAACACACACACACACACACACACACACACACGTTGTTACGTTTAGCCAACACACACACACACACACACATTGTTACGTTTAGCCAACACACACTCACGTTGTTACATTTAGCCGACACACACACGTGGTTACGTATAGCTGACTCACACACACACACACATGTGGTTACGTTTAGCCGACACACACACACGTGGTTGCGTTTAGCCAACACACACACGTGGTTACGTTTAGCCGAGACACACACACGTGGTTACGTTTAGCCGACACACACACATGTGGTTACGATTAGCCAACACACACACGTGGTTACGTTGGTTTCTGACGCTGCAGGTCACTGCACAAGCGCTGGATTTTGACGACTTCGGAGTGAGACCGGGCTCGACATTCGGCTCGTTGGAGATGAGCCAGGCCTGCGCAGATTCGATCACCGGCGATCAGCGCACAATGCATGCAAGTTAGTTTTGTGTCCGACTTCGTCCCGACTTGCTCTGAGGTCATGCAAACGTGTACAGCAATAATCTCGTGACAGCGAGGCGGGTGCAGTTTTTAGAGCCAGGCGCTGCAGCTGCTCTCCACCGACTGTAAGACCCAGAGCATGATGGGAAAGGCCTGGCTCTCACTTGATCTAACAGCTGATTGGTTCAGATGTTGACTCAACAAGATGAGGTTTTAGTTTAACTTTTCATGTTGAATTTCAGATATTTAGATGTGATTTGATTTGAAGGGTTATTCTGTGAACAGGAAACATTGAGGCGACAGGTCAAACTGAACCATGAACATAAACTACAGATCACCTGTGAGACATTTTAATAAATCAATCTATAAAACAACTGGAGACTGAAAACAAACTGATATATGGGTCTGTTAATATTATTAATAAATCAACATCATATCAGACAGGATGTGAGTGTTTCAGACTGAAGGCTGCTGGAAACTGTCAAACCCGACAGCAGCTTTTTGTCTCCGCCCCCTGCTGCAGCCGCCTGCTCCCGTCCACTCTCCATGAGAGGTTCAGTTCATCTCCAGTGAGCCTATTCCCGCCTTGAACATGCGCAGTGACGAGGCTGCTGACTTGTGTTTCCTAGGTGTGGTCGCAGGTGTCTGTGCTGAATACCCAGATCATTACGCAGCGGACAGGAAACAAAGCCTCTGACAGATATATTTGTGACCCTGTGATGTGTGAGTGTAACGCAGCGACACACCTCTCTGCCTGATCTGATCCCGTCTCAGTGGCTGGAGGCCGTTTCCTCTGTGTCCTCTCCCCTGCCTGTCACGTCCTCGTCCGACTGTTCAGGACAAACACTGTCAGCACAATATTCACTTTGCTGCATTTCAAGTTTTCATGAAGAGAAACTCACATGAGCCTCTTGTTGGAGCCATCTCACTGCCGGTTCAGCTTCTTCTTCCTCTTCCTCAGGTTGACTCAGTGCTGCTGACAACTGGACGTCCTCTCTGTTCAGGTCTCACCTGTGACTGCTCTGCTCTGACTGCTCTACGCCCCTCTATCACCTGGGTGTGGCTGAACATTAAACAGAAGGTGAGAGTACACCTGTCCTGACGTGTCTGAGGCCTGCAGGTGTGACTCACACTCAGTTTCTGTTCTTATGAAATGAAAGTGAACGTCAGGAGTTTCTATGAAACAGAAAAACAAAGAGAGGTAAAAGTTTGTTGGCTGAATCTCACATATGAGTCTGACACTGTTCTTTTTTATTAGAGAATGTTATTTAGACTTCTCAATATGTAATAAACACAATATATAATAAACACAATATGTAATAAACAGGAATAATGGCAGTTGAACTAAAAACACAGTTCCTGCAGACAATGCGTGTGGATGCTGAAAATGCAGACTAGACAGATGGATAGATGTCAGTCAGCATCAGTTTGTTCACACATGTAAGTAGCAAATAAACAAAATAATCATACAGTAGTAAAGAGACATAAAAAGACAGGTTACTAAAGGAAGCATGAAAACTGAGAACAACATATAATGATTTGACTGACATGTTGAAAAAGGAGCTGGAGGAAGAACAAACTTATTTATTCCCCCTCCCCAAGTCCCCGTCTGGACCAAAATATGGAGCATGGACTGGTAGCTGGAGAAGTGCCCTTGAGCAAGGCACTGAACCCCCCCACCGCTTGGAGCACTTGTCAGCCCCACTCTGACATCTCTCCACTTTGTACATGTATAGGTCCTGTTTGTGCATGTGTGTGTTCGGACCTGTGTGTTAATGACAACAGTGTAAAAAAAATTGAATTTCCCCTCAGGGATTAATAACGTATATTAAATTAAAAATTAAATTAAAAAACTTCATCCACACAAGACTCTCAGCTGTGTATCATATGGATCATCAATAACAACAACTTCTGCTCTGCCAAACAAATAGTGTGCTGATGGATTTGTTTCCACAGAGAACAAAATGTCAGGTCAAGTTTATTTCTATACCACATTAAAAACAACCTCAGTTGACCAAAGTGCTGTACAGGCTATGCATGTAAATACATATAAACAAATATAAATAAAATAAATATAATTCAATTCAATTCAATTTTATTTATAAAGCCCAATATCACAAATCACAATTTGCCTCACAGGGCTTTACAGCATACGACATCCCTCTGTCCTTATGACCCTCACAGCTGATCAGGAAAAACTCCCCAAAAAAAACCCTTTAACGGGGAAAAAACGGTAGAAACCTCAGGAAGAGCAACTGAGGAGGGATCCCTCTTCCAGGACGGACAGACGTGCAATAGATGTCGTACAGAACAGATCAGCATAATAAATTAACAGTAATCCGTATGACACAATGAGACAGAGAGAGAGAGAGAGAGAGAGAGAGAGA